GACAGAAACTGTCCAGATGACCTGACTGAAAAATGTTGGATTGTATACCTGGATTATTGAGCATGGACTTTGTTGTTTTCTATCCATGGATCTGCTGTCTCTGTTCCTATTTCTCCCAGGAAAGCATAGTCCTCATTTATGCAGTGTTGGTTTTCTGTGACTTCACGTAGCCCTGCAGTTTCACTCGAACGACAAACTGCAGGAAAATGTCCCTTTTTCAGGCATTTTGGACATTCTACGTCTTTGGTTGGGCAATCTTTCCATGAGTGTTTGTTCTCTCGACCACATCGGCCACGTCAGCTTGACTTTCGGGCTTCTGTCCTTCAGCATTTTGCCAAGTCTTTTTCCTCACTTATTTCCTTATTTGTCTTTATGGCATCCATGTTTGATATGCTCTCATCTTCAACACTGCTGTGCAGTATGGTTTGCCGTTTCTTCACAGTTTAAGTTTGCCTGACATTTTGTATGTTTTTTTTGTGCCAACTCAAGAGTCCATTTGTAGTTGTTTGGATAGCTTTTTGTCCTTTATTGCATTTACAATTTTGTCTCTTATAAGTTCCTCTTTCAGTTCTCCAAAGCTGCAGTTTTCTGCAAGTTTGTGGACCGCTGTGATGTATGCTTCTACATTTTATCATCATGTTCACATCTGGAATTAAACTGTGCTTTTTCAAAAATTGCATTGCATTTCCCACTGTAGTGCTGTTCAAACAATGTTTTGACAGCTTCATCTCTCTTTATCTGCATCAGTCAATGGTTAAACTGCTAACACATCATCAGCTGTGTCTCCCATTGCATACAAGAGTGAATTCACCTGATTATGCTATTCTTTTTTGTCGAGAGCTGTTGCTATACGGAATCTCTCAAAACATCTGATCCACCTCGGCCATTTAGCAGGTCTTGAAAAGTCAAATGACTCTGGAGGACTTATTTGTACAGCTGCTGCCATCAATGTTTCTGTTTCATTCAGGAACAACCGTTAAGATGTGTCGTCTTTCTGCACTCCTCCTCCTGCCTGTGCCATGTGAGCTGTATTTAGCAGCACTCCTCAGACATGTTAGCTTCATTTTTTTTCTGTCGGCTAACAGCGGGTCAGCGCACCTGTCGACATCGTTGAGACTTGCAGTTCACCACTTTTGACACCATGTATAAAGGAGACACTGGGTGCCAAGTGGTGAGTGTGAGGACCCAGTTTTACTCAACTTAATCATAAGTGCCCCCGTACATGCAAAACCCTGTGAGGGTAGCAAAGCCTTCTGGGAATGGTAGTCATACTACTATACATATGGTGGCAGTCATTTTGGATTTTGATTGTTTAAAGAAACCCTTCTTTCACCTAGATGCAGCTACACACCTAAATGGAAGTCAGTACCTCACTTGTTTTTTAAGTAATCATGCTCACAACCCGAACGTACATTTATGGCGACAGTCATTTTGGATTTTGACATGGCAATTGAAATATCTTATGTCCTATTATGTTTCTTATGTCTAGATGTAGCCACACACCAAACTGGAAGTTGGTAACTCACATTGCCTGGCCCCAAAAAAAATTGCCACCTGGATTTAACGAAGCAAATAGGTACGAGCCTCGTATTGGATAATTGCTGCATGGGTGATTATCTTTCAGCTGGAAACAAGTTATTTAACCCCAACTGGTGCAATGAGTTGCTTCTCATTTCTTAAACAACCATGTTGAAAGACCCATGGCGTGGTCATGGAAAGATGTCAGTCTGTTTGAGAAGGGTCAAATCATTGGCATCAAGCAGAGAAAACATCTAAGGAGATTGCAGAAACTACTAAAACTGGGTTAAGAACTGTCCAGTGCATTATTAAAACCTGGAAGGATAGTGTGGACCCATCGTCTTCGAGGAAGAAATGTGGCCGGAAAAAAGTCCTGAATGATCGTGATCGGCGACCACTTGAACATTTGGTGAGATCAAATAGAAGAAAAACAACAGTAGCACTCAGGACTGTGTTTAATAGTGAAAGTAAGAGCATTTCCACACACACAATGTGAAGGAACTCAACTGGGACTGAACAGCTGTGTAGCCTTAAGAAAACCACTAATCAGTGAGGCTAACTGGAAAAAAAGGCTTCAATTTGCTAGGAAGCATAAAGATTGGACTCTGGAGCAATGGAAGAAGGTCATGTGGTTGGATGAGTCCAGACTGACCCTGTTCCAGAGTGATGGATGCACCAGGGTAAGAAGAGAGGCAGGTGAAGTGATGCACCCATCATGCCTAGTATCTAGTCATCAATGCAAAGTGGAATGCTGCCATTTTAGAATAACTCCAGCCTCAAATGTTTGGTGTTCTTGTATACCCCGTTTTAAAAACTGTTTATTGATGACATTTGTGCATTACTGTGCACGGTTATACTGGCAGAAATACTATTCCTGCTGGAAGCTCCCCAGCTAGCTGTTGCTTCTGCTAACTCTGTTCGAATGTAACCATATAATTATATTAAATTAACTGTGTAATATAAAATTAGAGGTGATAAACATAGCATTTGCATAAACTGCTTTGAGTATTTTGTGATGGGACTTATTTTAACAACTGAGTCAGCCTTGTTTGGATTAGCTGTTAGAAATTAAACCAAGTCCGAATTAAACTATTTGTCCAAACTGAGGTACTTCAGAAAGCCATCTACTACCAGTAAGATTCTAACTGTTCATTACAAGCGACAACATTAAAACCATTGACCGGTGAAGTGAAAAAAAGTGTTGTTAGTGCTCTTATGTATTTGGATTATCAAACAGGAACATGTTAAAAAAAGGAAAAATGAGTCAGCGGGTATGAATGCTTCCCCGTCTTCACCAACTATAGTCGTTAGTTTTAATAAGACTGTTGTTTGGCTTAGCTCAACCAATTAATTTACAACTTTACTTCCTGGAATAATAAGAAAATGGTTCAAACCAACACAACTGTCTGGCACCCACTACAGTTTTACAAAAGCTCCACAGCTCTGTAGGATTTTCCATCAGTTCATCTCTACGAACGACGGTTCTCACTTTATTTTAGAAATATCTATTAGGTTTCCTTACATTTTACTCTTCTAGGTCCCGTTTGTGTGTGACGTTTGTCTTCTGTAGCTGCAAGTCATCCTCCTTTACCCTTTTTTTTTAATATTCAGGAAGGATGCACCCACACTAAGCATTCACCAAAAATGGTTCAATCATGCCATCTGGACAATTTATTGTGGAACCAGGTTGTGCTTGTTCTTCACAAGACCTTAGGGATTACCAGCATTACTATCTTAAGAGTTGAAGGCAGGTTACGAAGTGGGTCATTACCAACGTTCAGACTTGAGCAGAGTGGGCTCAACAAAGCTTTACGTTATTGATTTCAATGTGAATGATGTAAAAGTGTTTAACAGTGTGGTTTTAATTACGTATATCTCATTATAAAGTTTTTTCTGTCACCAAGATCTTGTTGTGTTGTCTCCTTGACTCTATAATGGTCAAAACAATAATAAAGCAGTGTCACATTAGGT